AACCTCTGCCCATCTCAGCCTGATGGCCTTGGCCTGACACCGGGACCTCAGACTCCCAGCCCATTCCTCTCTGGCTTGGTGTGAGCTGACTTTGTCTCCCGCCGACTGGACCGTGAGCTCCCAGTGGGCAGGGGCTCTGGTTATTCTCCCAGTCTCTCATGCCCTCACTCAGCCCCTGTCCTCCTTCCCCGCCCAATCACCTCCTGGCTCATCCAGGTGCTGGACACTGACACTAGCCCATCTCACCAGATTTTGAGCTTCATGAGGGCAGAGGTCACATCCTGCCAGATGCGCAGCCTGGCATAGCCCAGGAGCTCAACTGAATGGGAATTCACTCACTCACTTGTTTATCAAACATCTGTGTGCAGGTCACTGGGGAAACAAAGATTGAGAAAGGAGGAGCTTACAGGCTGAGGAGGACTCTGATGTGGGAAGAACAGAACCCCGGCACAGAGAGGGGAGGCGCCTGCTTGGCAGAGGCGTCCAGGAAGGCGATGTTTGGGTCTTTGAGGGAGGGGAGCACTTTGCCAAGTTGCCAAGTTGGGAAGATAGCACACACTGAAGACAAAGGCTGGGCAGAGGCCTGAGGCCCATCTGGGCTGTGGCTGCACACGGGCTGGGGCCAGTTCTGATACCAAGCTGAGGAACCTGGCTTGATCTGGAGGGCAGTGGGCAGTGGCTTGGGCAGAACTCAGGGACAGAAAGGTGACACGAATGCCCCCATAGAAGGACAGGAGGGAGTAAAGATGGAGAAGGGGACAGGGAAGGGGTTGACTGAAGGGGGAGGGGACAAAGGCTCTTGGGGACGCTGAAGCAAGGCCTTGCATCCAGGAGGCAGACCGTGTACCAAGCCCTGTGCTGGGCACCAGATCATTGCTGTGAGCAACCCACGTGCAATCCCGGCCTCCTGGGGACTCCAGTGTGAAGGGGAGGCAGACCCTGGAAACAGGACAGGTTGGATACTGTGGCACACAGGCATGTCTGGGGACTCTGGTCAGCCTGGGCTTGGACAGTGGGCTTTGGATACCATGGAACCCCACAAGGGTGGGTCCCGGAATAGCAGGACGAGCTTTGGGACCAAATGGAGGCCTGATATTGATAGGCTCCCTTCATCTGTGACAGGAATGCGATGACACCTCCTAGGAATAAAGGGGGTAGCTGGGAGTGCCTGGCACGCAGGGTGCTTGTCCAGCCACAAATGTGTATCGACCAAGTTGCTTGGTTCTGGGAGACACAATGGACAAGGAGGACCAAGCCCCTGCCTGCAGGAAGCATTTCATTACAAACAAGTAATGAAGCAAAAAATATATAGGAAAAGTTCAGATCATGATCCACTCCCAAGACACTGTTATCTAGAGCAGCCTGGGCAAAGTCTCAGAGGTGAAGTTTGAGCTGAGAACTCAATGATGGAAGGAGCCAGCCCTGCCAAGATCTGGGGGCTGGGTTGTTTAGGCAGAGGAAACAGCAAGTGCAAAGGCCCTGTGGCTGGAAATTCAAGGCCAGCAGGGAAGTGTCCCTGTCTCTGAGACTTCTATCCCTTGAGCTTGCTGACACCCAGTCTCCCTTCCTACCTGGGCTTCCTAGACCTGTCTGCTAAAAACAAGTGCCTCCCTTCCCTCCAGCCCACCTGGGGCTCCAGACCCCTGCCTGTCCAGGCGGTGTCAGGGCCTGCACACGATGGGCTGATGAAATGTGTGTTGGTGGAATGAACGCAGAGGGTGGCATGGCAGGGTGGATGGGCTGTGACCTCTTGTAGTTTAAGGCGCTTGGCCCAGTGATTAGGCCCAACGCTAATGAGGTCAAGGTGGAGGGTTTGATTCTGACACAGCCTGGCCCCTGGTAGGAGGAGCCCTGGATTCCCTGAGTCAAAACCAGCCCCCATACAGCCCCACCCTGGCTGGGCTGAGCCCTCAACCTCAGCACCTTCGTGTCCCTTCCTATGCTTATGACAGCCTGGAAGCTTCTAATTCATGTTCTGTTCATGTGCTTTTGGTCCATCTCCCAGGCTGTCATGTGGGCTGGGGTCTGTCTCGCTCACCACAGGGACCTCAGAGCCCAGTCTGGTGCCCAGCATGTGGCAGGAGCAGAATCATTTCCCTGGAACTAGAAAGAGCTGGGGTTCCTGTCTGTGTTGTTCACTGATACATCCCCAGGGTCTGGCACAGAGTAGGTGCTCAACAACCATTTGTGGAAAGAGTGAATGTATCTACGTTACCTCAGGAAGTACTTCCCCGCTCTAAGTCTCAGGTTCCTCTTCTGTGAGAGAGTTTAACAATCCCACCCTCACAGGGCGAGGTGAAGGGGAATTAAAGGCCATCGCTGAGGTGATGGTGCTCTGTATTCCGTAAGGCATGGCAAAGAATTTTTTAAAAAAACAAAAAATGGCCCTAACCGGTTTGGCTCAGTGGATAGAGCTTTGGCCTGCGGACTAAAGGGTCCCAGGTTCGATTCCGATCAAGGGCATGTACCTTAGTTGCAGGCACATCCCCAGTAGGGGGTGTGCAGGAGGCAGCTGATTGATGTTTCTCTCTCATAGATGTTTCTAACTCTCTATCCCTCTCCCTTCCTCTCTGTAAAAAATCAATAAAGTATATTTTTAAAAATGCTCTTTGTTCAGAGCCACAGGCTCAGGGAGTGAGCTGAAAGGTCACTAGAAGTCACTTACCCTGACCCAGCAGTGAGTTGCCCAGGTCACGTGACAAAGCAGTGACAACCCAGCTATAACCTGCCTGGCGGTGCCTCCTCCAGCACAAAGACAGCTCACGGGAAAGCTCTGCCAGTCCTTTACACCATGGTATAAATAACAAAAAAAAAGGTGTACTGAGTAGTGAAAAGGCCCTGGACGGAGTCTCACAAGCCTGGGGCAGCAGTGGTGGCCCCGAGGGCAGGAGATGTCACTGGCTCTGTCACCAGGGGAGCCTGGGAAGTTCACTCTTCCCCTCAGACTGCTGTCTCCATAAGGCATGGAGACCTCAGGGAGCCACACCTGACTGCAGGATGAGCCCGAGTGCTTTCCCACCAGGGCCTGCCTCGTGGACCTTCGGACCGCACCACTTAGGCTTCATGGTCCTCCCTCGTTGGGCACAGCCCCTTTAGACCTTCCCTTTCATCCAGACTGAGGCTCTGCAGCCACACAGCCAGGGCGCAGCCCCGTCTCCTTCCTTCCCTGTGCCTCAGTTTCCCACTCTGGTGCCTGTCAGTGATCAGAGAGTGTTGGGAAAAGTGTGATCCTCTTCTGAATCTCACTAAGGTCTCAACTCCTAGCTCACATCCTTGAAGACCGCCCACACCCCAAGTCTACACACCAGGTCCCACCCCACCCCCCATTCATTTTCTATTCACTACTTATCACTATCAGCACCAGTCCTACTTGTCTTCTCACTGACTCTCTAGAACACAGGGCTGGCCCAGCCTGTTCTTTGCTGCATTCTGAGATTGCAGTCCAGAGTACGTGCTCAATAAAAATACTTGTTGAATAAATGAACAACTCCCCCTGGCCTCTGTGGGAAGGCCTCACTCCCCTCTGAACACTGGGGAAATAGGCTCAGAGACTGAGGTTCCTTAGCAGAGCTGGAATTGAACCGGGGCCTTCTAACCCAGCGGTCGCCAACAGGTGGTCCTGAAAGGTTGGCAACCACTGATCTAACCCCTCAGCCAGAGCTCTTTCGTCTCCGTGCCAGGCAGTCCAGAGAGGGTCACAGCGCACACCAGTGGCCGAGCCTGAGTGTGGGTGACTTTCTGAGCCACGGCCCCTTTGGCCTCTCTTTCAGCCAGGCTGAGAACCAGCTGTGAGGAGCTGTAATTGGTGGGAACGGGGCCTGGGGTTGGCTGTCTCAGAAGACAGACGCAGCCATCTCGGCTTCCCCGCTCCTCTGGGAGCCCAGGAGCAGGGCTTTGACGGGGGCAGGGATTAGGGTTTAGCTGGAGGGGCACAATTAGCTGTTGAGCCTCTGCATAGAGGTGCTGCTTGATCAGCAGCAGCTTCCTCCTCCTTCCTGCTTCCCCTCACTGGCTTAGTCCCACCTGACTGTCACCAGGCTGGGTGAGGCCTGAGCAGTGACGGCGAACCTTTTGAGCTCAGCGTGTCAGCATTTTGAAAAACCCTAACTTAACTCTGGTGCCGTGTCACATATAGAAATTTTTTGATATGTGCAACCATAGTAAAACAAAGACTTATATTTTTGATATTTATTTTATATATTTAAATGCCATTTAACAAAGAAAAAATCAACCAAAAAAATGACACGCGTGTCATAGGTTCGCCATCACTGACGTAGACTGAGCTGGGAATGTCAAGGGGGAAGAAGGGAAGGTGACAAACTGACTCTCCTCCCCTTCCTTCCTCTTTTCCTCCCATCTCCTCTTCCTTCTTCCCCTCTTCCTCCCTCTCTCTCTTTTCCTCCTATTTCAATATTTGCCAAACACCTCTGGGCACGAGGGCTGGGTGCTCGGGACACTGATATGAGTCCTACATGGTCCCTGCCCTCGGGTGGCAGCAAACAAGGGAAAAAACTAATAACCATGAGAGGTGGGAATTTGTTCTCAGCCT